AAAAAAAAGATATTTCATAGGAAATAAAATATATCCCCAATTTCTTATAATTGACACAAACATGTCCAGTGTATAAAACCGTCCTTTTGTATGGTAACTACATGCAACTTCTTTCAGATATACGATTAGCAACTGATTCGTGTGACAAGAGGTAAAATCGAAAGGTTGAATGAGATAATTTAGTGTTCATTACGCATTTCAAAAGAACAAATCAAACTTTACACTGAATTTATTTTTAAAAAATTATATAATTTTCAACTTCTTTTATTTCTCAAGCATGATTTTATTTCATTTTAGAATCAAAAAATATATTTTAAGTCAACAAAATGCTGGTAACTATCTATTTTATGTTATTTTTTACAAAATCACAATGCAAATCATAACGAGTCGAGTCTTCTTATATCATATTCCTTTTGCTAATTTACCTGGATATGTAACCGAAGAAATCGGTGTGTTATTAGTTACGATGGCCGTGACCGCTATCAGGGGTGGCCTTTGCTCAGCGGGGGTGCACCATCCCCCACCTGATACCAAACCACCCAACACCAAACCACCCAACACCAAACCACTTCTTTATTAAAGATGTATGGATGTTTCAGTGGTTAAAACAAAAACATTGGGGTGGTTAAAGCAGAAGCGTATAAAACAAATATCTTCGTAGTACATACACCAGTATAGTATATATGTCGCTGGTTAAAGAATTTTGAAGGGGGAAGCTTTTGGAAGTGATGTCTTTTGTGTTGTTGTCCTTACGCCAAAGGTACGGAGCTCTTCTATATGGCTCTATATGTAAATTGAAGAATCTCGTTGGAATCACCACGGACTTGGATCTATTTTAATTCCGTGATATCAACCGGGACTGTTTTTGAGTGTAATCGAGATTTAGGTTTCTTCAATGTTATCGTTTGTTTAACATTTTAAGCATTACTTGCATACAAAATGGAAATATACTAAAAGTAATGCTTAGAGTCCTTTGACTATGATTAACATTGCAGTAAACCCTCACTCCCTACATTAACTCGAGGTGACATTTCCTGTTGTATGCAATATTAGTGAAGAAATATAGACGTCAGGAAACTTTTGGTCCCAACCGTTGTAACCAAACGATAAAGAAAGTGATTAATTTTGTTTTGTAGGCAGAGGTTTACACAATATCAGAATATGTTATATAAACGTCTGCTTCTAAACTCGTTGAAGGAGGCATTTTAATACAAAGTGAAATTCGTCATCCACGTCATATTGATTGTAGCAATCTAATTCCGTGGTGAAACGGACGGGACCTACATTCCGATGTTTTTAAGATTCAATTAAAACTGTGTGTACCTTGTCCTCCATGTTAGATCAAAAGCAGAACGGACCGTTCTGTTAGCTGTTGCGATTGTTTAAGATCACCGATGTACACGAGAGTACTATGTACGTGTGTGAGAAAGGGTTGGAGGAGTTAAACATTAGTGGGGTGGATCAACCCGAATACGGTATATAAAAGGCGTTTGTAAAAAATACTATCTAATAATCTCTATATTTGCTTTTGGCAATTTCTGTATATATATAACCAGAGCTGTGTCGCATACATAATTTACAGCAATGGCTAAATCATGAGACATTTTTAATACTTGTAAGATGCAATAAAACGTGTTTAAATGTGTATTATATTGTAAACTCGTAATTGGACAAAATGACCAGGAACCGCTTGAATACAATAAAAAATATCACCTCTATACCCGAGGCACGTGTCAATGGTGGGGCTGTTGGTTTGCGTACTGGACACGTCAATTAATCCGATAGAAACTAGTAAATATATACCCTTCATGGGAAACAATATAGCAGACATTTACTATTTGAAGAACAAGTACAGTCTAAATAGAAAGATTACTTGCAATAAAGGAGTTTCAATCCTTTCAAGGACTTACCACACAACTCCTAATCTGGTGCTGGGTCACCATTCCAGATGTTTCTCTCCATATTTTGACTGAACGTACCACGTCAAGTTAACCAAAAATAGTCTCTGCTAATATTCCTCACGTTTAGCGTTTTCTTTCGTTATCAATGTCGAATTCGAATTTTACTTGGGTATTCTCAGAGACATATTATGCATATACGTCTCTGTTATTCTCTATTTCTATACCTGAGCGGATTAAATCATTGTTATTATATAATATGAAAAGGCAATGCCTTTAAAGAGCGTTTCTTTTGCTGATCTCTGATATTTGCTGATTCGATCAGAATGAAAAATACTGGTTTCAGAATGAGATAAGATAAGCTTTATTTCAAGTCGGCAAGTCGAGGAATGACAATAAAATGCAAGCTCTAATGAGAATTTAAGACCTAAATAATAATTAGGGGAGACCGGGGCAAGATTGTCCACTTTGTATTTAAGTCCGTCCTGGGAAGTATGGTAGCAAGTCCGTTTTTGAAGAATCATTTAACTTTTCCTGTCGGAAGATCGGATGTCGTTATATCGATATATAGTCTAAATTTCTGTTCCATCCTGAACACCGGGTTGAATTTCAAATTTTGTTACAGTCATCAAAATTTGACAGGTAAGGATGCCAAATGAAAGTAAACAGTTTCTGCCTGTAACTAGTTATAAATCGGCACGCAGTGTAAAACAGGTGTACGTTGCTGAAAATGGCGTTAAACTCGTGTTGGTGGGCTGGAAAATCATTGTTGATTTCAACATAAATGCAATATCAATTGTTTCTTTTATGAGTGGTGATGTATAACTACATTATGTAAAGACTATAAAAAGACTTCAATTTTTTTAGTTGTTTCGTTTATATTCTCAACAACTGGTTTTCCAAAGCTGATGAAATGTTAGACAATGAAGAAATACATGTACACGTACTGACGTAGACCTAGCATTGGTTCTCCCGGCAGAAATATTAACAGAAACTGATTGATGATAAAAAGGATCTTCAGAAAATACCCGCATTTTTACTTCATGTGCCTGTGGCAAAACAAAAATAGAAAAAAGTTCTGAAGCTGACCAAAAGATAATGCAACGGATCCAAGATTTCCGTTTATTTTTCATCCTTCCGGAAAGAACCGATGAAGGCCGATGGACTCTGAACAAAGATTCATGCACGTTTATATCACGCCGGCTGGAATATTATATTGGGTCCTTAAGTCGCTGTTTTAACAGAATGTGTTACTGGAAAACATGGTAATGTGTGTGCAAGTGATTGTTCTGACAACTGTAAAGGCAAATAATGCGCACAGAGCAATAGGAATTGTTTTGGTGAGTAGTGCAGTATATACATTTCATGTAATTATTTTGTAAATAGCAATTACTTTCTGTCAACTTTCTCTTTCTCGATAGTAACATTAGTGTTTTCCCGTTTTACGGTGTTTACATGTCGCGATGGATTCGATATTTAAGAGCTTGCACTATATATCATGGTTTCCGTGATACATGTCGACTGCTAAAGAACAAATTTACAGCACAGAGTTTTCATAAATAGAGGGTGATTGGTTTATGATCTTATAATTATTTTATTGGGAAACATTCTACTCTCTTCTGAATTACGAAAATGGATTTTGTTTTTATTATGCTCCCTAGTGTACAAAATGTACATTGTTTATAATTGGTTCTCTTTTTCACAACATTACACTTTGCCATACAAAATTTACGCATTCTTATATTGGTCAAATGTTTCAGAGGGTAATTTTTTATTTCAATCACTGTTTCTCGTCAGTTTGACAGTGGGTAACACCTCAATTATAAAATCTTATTTAAGCTCATATTCTCGACGATGCACCATTTAATACATGATCTACGTCCCAATTTAAGAATTTGATTTCAAATTGAGATATTTGTCAATATTGCATGTGCATGCATTTGTAATGTCAAATTATATATGTAGAGAATACATTTATTTCTTTATCTCTTTGTTTTTGCACTTTTAAGACATCACGTTCAAAACGACACTCGTCCACTATGGCAAACTAATGTAGTATATTCACCTGACATTGTTTACCAGCCTTTCGACCCTTAATACCAAGGATTGATGGACGAAATCGTATGGTGAAAGTGATTTCTTGGTTTTGCAGTCTTTCTCGACATGCCATTTAAATATATTCTTCTTTCCCATATTTAACATATCATTTATAATGGGGGAGGAAATCCCATAATCCCATAGGAGTATCAATCATGTCAATGATGGAATTGCACCTTATTGATTTATTTACCCCCTTCACACACACACACCTCTAATTTCACACACACATTCTTTTAGCCACCACTGGAGATTGAATCAATATTCTTCCGTGAGTATTGAGCCAAGACTTGAATTCACGCGGTAATATTGACTGTGCCTGTAACCGTTCATGGTTACCGATGTATTCTTCAAAGCCGTCAATATATATTGGTATAATGTTTTATCTTTTTCCCCAATACTCGGCACTTATTTAGAATATTTGTAAAATCATGTTATATGTTTATATTACAGAATGCGTAAACGGAAAACACGGAGACGTGTGTGACCTCAATTGTTCTGACCACTGTAAAGACAAATCATGCATGAAGGACAATGGATATTGCTTAGGTAACAAGTTGGTAACAGCATCATAGATGATCATAGATATACATACAGCAAAAGAATTATTATATATCAATTTTGCACAAAAATCATTAGAGTTCTATAATGAAAATCAGATAAGATAATCTATTTACCGTTTGTATGGGGAAAATATCGAAATCATATAATATCTTTTATTTCTAGACACGTTCTAAATAAACAATATCGAAACGACAAATGAAAAAAAAAACTCGACACGGGTCTCTATATACATAAGTGTATTTATTGTTTCATGTTATTTAGATTGTATCATTATTTTAATAGAATGTGTTCCCGGAAAACATGGCAATGTGTGTGCAAGTGATTGCACTGACAACTGTAAAAACAAAACATGCATGAAGAACAACGGACATTGTACAGGTAATTAGTGAATTATGTGCAATGATGAAATTGTCTTTTTAACTTTTAAACTTTTAAACTGGGTAATCATTAATAGGTCATGCGTACCAAATCAGGAGAAGGTATTTTATTGGGGAAATGTATGTGTGTATTGGGATGGGTGGGTTGTACCTTACCGACAAACGGATAGCAACAAGCCCTAATACACATCACTCATTTTTTTATTTTATTTTTATTTTGGAACTGATTTATTGTCCATGTTTGCTCAAGTTTAATACGAAGTTGTGTTGTGTCATTGTGAATTCTTTCTGATGCAACATTTGTCGATTATGGGTTTAATTTGGGTGACTGATTTGGACTGTCGATTTAAGTTTAAATACCTCATTCACATATATTTTGTATACAGTACCACGACAAGTAGTAATCTAACCTGATATTTATCTCTTTTTTTTGTATTTGACATTTTTCCCAAAATATATCTCCAATATGATTGTCTTTATTTTCAGGATGCATTACTGGTAAAGCAGGCGCACTATGCGATACCAACTGTTCTTCGTATTGTGAGACATGTGACCAGACGTCCGAACAATGTTTTGGTAATTATAACTTAGAAATATAGCTACTGTTTCTTTGTTAATAGTGAAGGGTAAGAGGAGAGATGTGACTAGTTGTTGAAAGGGGTGAGATGTCTATAGCAATAGTTGTTACAGTGAATTCAACGCATGGTCACTTATTCAGAAGTAGCTCGACTCTATCAATTGAAAGACAAATCGGAATGTTCGTTGTGCCCCTAAATCAATCAATGCGTTGCAATATGAATACATCAGTAAATATCATGATAATAAATTAGTTAAATATTAGTATTCACTTGTGTACGACCATGTATGGTTTCACTACATGCCAAAAAATTAAGGCAAAACTTTTACCGAAAGTACGTGTTTTGTTGTAAAAAAAAGTTGTGTAATGCATCCTGAAAATCACAAATATGATTTGTTGTTTTCAAAATGAGCTAAAACAACCATAATGTTACCATTTCTGTTTTTGTAAACATGTGTTAAAGGATTTTGGACAGATTTTCCATAATTTCATATTTTACGGTCATTTGATGCAATTATACGTGTAGTGACCGATACCCCGTCTCTCTCGGTACTCAGAAGGTAGATCCGCCTAGTGAATATGCAGATTTTGAACTCGGTACGAGGTCACGTGATCTGTGATGTCACAGTGGCATGACTTATACGATTTCCCGTTCATTACGTGTACCCTTTCTGACGCGCCCCCTTTACATATTGATATTTTATCTGCAAAACAGTGTAAAAGATGACAGCAACCAATATAAAAATTATGTTGTATGGGTAAAATCATCAATCAACAAATTAAGATATCAATTCTCCGAAAGAGAAGTTATATCTTCAAGCCTGAACACGGAAATCTAATTCCGTGCATCAACTACGTTCAATGTATAGCTGAGAGATAGTAATACACAGTTTTCCCACCTAAATATCTTACCTGTGAATAAATGGTTTGCTAAGTGTCTGTATTTCTAAAATTGTTCCACTTAATACTATAGCAAAAGGGTATTTACGATACCTACCCGTGAATTAACAGGTGAACTAATTACCCCCGAGGTGTTACCTGTGAATGTCATGGCCGAGGGACATATATTACCGATCCTCCCTCCAACTTACACAAGCAGTATGGTATACCAGTGCGTTTCTTTTTGTCCCCAGTGTTGGAAGAAAAAATGTCGTTGAAAGTATCAAAGTAAATTTCAACAGCGTTTAACAGTTTTTTAGCTCACCTGGCCTTTGGGCCAGGTGAGCTTATGCCATGGTGCGGCGTCCGTCCGTCGTACGGCGTCAATATTTTACTTTAAACAACTCCTTCTCAATAACCAAAAGGCACAGGGAACTGTTATCGGGCCTGTAGTATGCTTAGATAAAGGGCTACCAAGTTTATTCAAATGAATGACCTTGACCCACTTTCAAGGTGACAGGAGTCAAATATGTCAGAATATTCAAACGACTTCTCCTCAATAACCAACAGACGCAGGGTACTGATAGTGGGCCTGTAGCATCATGGGAGGAAGGGCTACCAAGTGTGTTCAAATTAATGACCTTGACCCACTTTCAGGGTCACATGGGTCTAAGGTCTTAAAATCTTCAAACAACTTCTTCGCAATAACCAAGAGGCGCAGTGTACTGATAGTGGACCTGTAGCATGTTGGGAGGAAGGGCTACCAAGTTTGTTCAAATGAATGACTTTGACCCACTTTCAAGGTCACATGGGTCAAATGTCTTAAAATCTTAAAACAACTTCGCAATAACCAAAAGACTCAGGGTACTGATATTGGGACTGTTGCATGCTGGGATGAAGGGCTACCAAGTTTGTCCAAATGAATGACCTTGACCCACTTTCAAAGTCACGGGGGTCAAATGTCTTAAAATCTTCAAACGACTTCTCAATAACCAAAGGGCACAGGGTACTGAAATTGGGCCTGTAGCATGCTGGGATGAAGGACTACCAAGTTTGTTCATATGAATAACATTGACCCACTTTCAACCTAATGTCCTTGTTCGACATTCAAGGTCACAGGCGTCATATGTTTAAATCTTTTAATAGGTTATTATGAATCAAACACTGATATTTAGTCCACTTTTAAGGTTACAAGTGTGAGATTAATACCGGGTGAGCGATGCAGGCCCATTGAGCCTCTTGTTTAGATTCGTTTTTACCTTAGGCTAGTAATCTGGACCGAAAACTGAAGATTTTGTATAAGGTAAAAATGTATGTGTTTCGTGTACGATATTACTGTTTTGATAAAATTTCTGAAGTTTTATATTTTTTGTAGTAATGGTGGTGATGACATGCCATTTATTAAAAAGTTTAAAATACCAACATAATAATTTGTTAATCAGCCTTTTTAACACAAATATATATTCAGGTGCGGATCCAAGAACTCGTGATGAGTTTACTTGTGGTACACTATTTTCATAAAAAAAGCATAATCAAGTTCCTGTTTATAAAAATTGGATTTTAAAACAAAAGCAAAACCAATGTTGTGAACTGGGGAAGAGCCATTTTCATTTTTGTATTCCTATTTCAGCCGACATCTAAAGCAATATTTCAACGAAACAAATATTTTAGACTATCATATGACTCAGATTTAATCGGGACAATGACAGTTTGATTGACACTAGAAATAAATTGGTTGTTCACGTATACACATGGATACACAATTAAACTATACAGCCCGGTGGTTTTACTTTTCAAGTGATCTACGTTTGCGATTATGAGAAAAACCAAATTGAATGAAATTGTATGCGTTTCATGTGTATGTGCTCTCATACTACACCAAACTCAGATGAAAAAACTATTTGGTAAAACGCTCACTTTTAGACTATATATAACGTTATATGTAGTATTAAGTATACATGTATACATATAGATACAATTGATACAAAGCAGTAAGTCTTTATTACAGAATGTGTTAATGGAAAGTACGGTGACGTGTGTGACCAAGGTTGTCCTAACGATTGTAAAGACCAATCATGCATGAAAGACAATGGATATTGTTCAGGTAATTAGGATTTACCTTAGCAGATTGAATCATGACCTTGACAAGTGATGAGTGTAATTCAAACGGTTGTGTAAGAGTATCTATCAACTAAAATTAAGCGAGAACGTCTCGTAACTAATCAATTACGAACGCCAAATCATAATTAAACGCTTTTTCGTTTCAGTAATAATCACCATAACTTTAGTATGCATATACAATACCTACAACCATCTTTGTAGCCCAAAAACAAAAGATTCAAATATCCCTACCTCCCTACCATGACGTAACCTATATCTCGACAACAGAGCCATGTTGTGATCTCCCTTCCTCTTCTTTTTATGACGCCTGCTGCCTGCTGACGCCCGGAGCTAGCTCCATTTCAAAACTTTGTTTTGTCGGTTTGGTTAGAGTGTCAACTCAATTTATTGCGCCGTTTGTGTGCCTTATACCCATCTGCCGTTGTTAATTCAATTATTTATTGTTGAAAATTATTTTTGTGCCTTTTTCGGCCGGTTATTTTACATCACATGTACCGGTGGTGTGCCATGCGGTCCGCCATTATTGTGTGTTAATTTTCGACCTCTGTTTATTTCAGTGACGGTTTTTTGATTCAGCAAACGTTATTTATTTTAACCGTTTTCGGATTTATATTACGGGTGAAATTCTTTCTACGTTGCGTACTTTGTACTTTCGTATTTTATTATTTTGTCCCGTGTTTGTCTGCTTGTAAACGTTGTTTACATTCGCTTTGGAGGTTTTGTCTCGATCGGGACAGCGACGGGGGACAGCTCATGGGTGTTCCCATTTCTTCGTCGAACGGGACCCTCATGATGTTTGTCCCAGTGTCGTCCTTGCAGTGAGGTTTCGCCTTGTGAACTTTGTTCACAGATTAAATCCCAGGACAAGGACTTTATTGTTCCAAAGCTACCCTCAACTTGCCGTAAGAGAGATTCGTCTGCTTCTTCCGGTAAGCGAGGGAAGCAGAGAACTAGGGGTCGTGCCATCAGCTCTCTGGGGTCTGGTGGTACTGTTTCTGGGGTGGCCCTTCCTGTCCAGGAACTCCCTGAAGTAGGGGAGGGGCAACCCGACCCTGGTTTGGCACAGCCCACTGTCGAATTGGCCAGGAACGCCCGTAAGCTTTCGCGCTTGCCTTCAGGTAGGGACTACCGGCCGCCGGTCACTGACTCTGTCAGTGATCCCGGCATTCCAGGTGGTGCTGTCGATGAGGACAGTCTTGGTGGCGGGCCTGTTCTTTCGTGTTCAGGTCCTGGTGTGACTACATACTTTTTTCGGGATTGTCTGTGTCTACCGGGATTAGTTGCTACCAAGCCTAACCCTACAGCCACGGTCGTTAGGCGCACTGCACCTAAACGCCGTTACGGGGAGCCTTCTCTCGAGTTGGCCCCTCTGGCTGGCCCATTTCCTCCACCCGAGGCTTTTGGTCTGGATGTATGGATGTTATGGACGTTGAGGGCGCGGGTGTGGCTGAGGACGATGATGTTGTTCATTTTTCAACTGGTTGCTCGGATATAGACGCTGGTCTTTCCGAGTCGTCTGATGACGGTCCTCAGGAGAGCTTGCCCTCTGAGGAGGATGTCCAGGATGAGGGTGACCCTGAGGCTTTTGAGTTTGAGGCCCAGCATGTGTTGCTCGGTATGCGGGGCATTAGGGCCGACGTTTCCCGGATTCTTGGGGAGGAGGTTTGCCCACCACCTTCGGCGTCATCTGTTCCGTAGTCCACCACCCTTTTGAGTTCTTTGGTGACTCCTCGGGTGTCCGCTCGGTCGGACCGCTCTCTGCCAGAAGGCACTATGGTGTCTTCAGCTCTGGCCATCGCCCAGTCTCGGGTTTTAGAGAAGAATTCTTCTTCAACCCGTAGTCCTGGGTATGCTGCGTTGCAGCTCATTGTTGGCAATTTGTCGGAGGTGCACAGACTATGCCACACATGATGGCCTGCTTGCCCCTCAACCAGCTTAGCTGGAATCGAGGGAAATTGCAGCCTGGCCCGGTAAATCGGTGGACCAGGTGGTGTTCGGTCCCAAAGAACACCACAAGATGGAGAGACTGCTGCGTCTCTCCATCCCGATTCTGTCTTATATAGACTACCTGACGGTTTGTCTATATAGGGTATCCGACTTGCCTGAGGGTCAGATTACCGAGACAGAGCAGGCCAACATACAGGACAGAGTGATCTCTGCCCTGAACGGGGCATTGCTGTCATCGCTCGTCAATGTCTTGTTGGCTAGGCGGTTTTCAGTTTTGAAACACCGCCCAGTCGATGAGCTTTACCGCTCCAGATTGTTGACTGCCCCCTTCTCAGGGTCCACTCATTTTGGAGGGGCATTTCCTTCTGTTCAGAAGGATTTGAAGGAGGACTCTGTCGCCTCTGCACTTCTGGAGGATTCATGCTGAGAAGGCCAGTGACTCGCAGGGGTCAGCGCCTCCTAAGAAGAAGGCTAAACCTTCGGCTTCGAAGTCTTCTGCGCAGCCCAAGCATAAGCCTCCTTTCAAGGGAAACAAATGGAAGGGTAAGAAGGGTAAGAACCCTCCTGGAGGTAAGAAGAAGGGTTCCTGACTCTCTTCTTTCCTCCTTGGTCGTGTCAGACGACGAGTTTGGCCGGGGGGACTGCAGTCCTCTCGGCTCAAGCTTAGGTCCTTCTCCCAAAGGATTAGGCTTCGGGTCAGCAGACGGTTCTCCTGCCTGGCAAGGTCTCGATCTGCCTCGACCAGATATTCCTGTGGGGGGTCGTCTTTCCGCTTTCCTTCCAGAGTGGAAGGAAATTACGGAAGACGCATCGGCCTTGTCTGTGGTCAAGGAGGGGTTAGGCATTCCGCTAGTGCAGGATCCGCCCTTAGCGTCATAGCCAATCTTTTTTCCTCCACCGGGGATCCGGAAAAGGCCCTGGCGCTCCAGGAGGAAATAAGGACCATGTTTACCAAGGGCGCGGTCGAGAAGGTTCCTTTGTCGGTATGCACTTCCGGGTTCTACCCAAGAATGTTTCTGGTTCGGAAGAAGTACGGGGCGTGGCGTCCCATCATAGATCTAAGTGCCTTCAACAAGCACGTAGATTCTCCTCACTTCAAGATGGAGACTTCTCGGGGTATAATCGCTCCGTGAGAGAGAGAATGTGGGCGACTTCAGTAGATCTGAAGGACGTGTACTTCCACATCCCAATCAAGAAGTCGGCACGAAATTACCTCGGTTTTACTCGCAACGGAAAGTCTTCCAGTTCCGGGCCATGCCGTTCGGGCTCACGAGTGCACCTTTGGTTTTCACCAAGCTGCTGCAGGTTGTCGTGGGTTTCCTGCACTCTCGAGGAATAGATTTTCACATCTACTTCGACGATTCCCTCGTGCTCCACCTAGTGAGAGAGTATCTGGTGCAGTTTACCAGGTTGGTTCTGAAAGTCTTACTCAAGGTCGGCTTCATTCCTTCCAGAGAAAAGTCGGAGGTTTCCCCATCTCAGGATTTTGTTTTTCTGGGGAACCGTTTTAATACGGTTCAGGGCATCGCCCTTCCACCGATGGAGAGGTTCGAGAAGGCCAGTGCTTTTGCTCTGATCTTCATCGGCCGGTCTCAAGTCCAGGTAGTTGGTTTCTCAGTTTTCTGGGATATCTCAACGCCCTGGCCGATGTGATCTCCTTAGGGAGACTTCACATCAGGCCTCTCCAAATGTTTCTTCTTGCCAACTAGGTCCCTTCTTCGAGGGATTAGGAAGCCTGGCTTTCTTTGAACCAGTCGGTCAAGGAGTTCGCAGGCTGGTGGACTCATCAGGACAATGTTCCCCGAGGGGTTCCTTTGTCCAAACCGGTTCCCACTACAGTATGACCCTGTACACGGATACATCCATGACAGGGTGGGGAGCTTACCTCGACGGGCATTGTCGGTCGGGGGAGTGGTCTGGGGAACAGCTCTCGGAGCACATCAATGTGCTCGAGATGAGGGCTGTTCTTTTGGCTCTGCAGTGTCTTCGGGAGATCCAGCATTCCAAGGTGGTTTTTGTGGCTACAGTTGTCGCGTATCTGGAGAGACAGGGGAAACCAGGTATCACACACTGTGTGCCCTCGCTATCCGCATTCTTCTTCTTTGTCAGGAAATGCAGTTGACAATTTGTGTCAAGCATCTACCAGGCAGGTTGAATGTTCTGGCGAATACTCTTTCAAGGCGCCGCCAGCCGATTTTGACAGAGTGGCAACTGAATCCCTCGATTTTCGAGGGAATTTGTCAGATGTGGGATAGGCCTCACATAGACCTGTACGTCACTTCACTAAACAATCAGTTGCCAACGTTTATCTCTCCGGTTCAAGATTCAAGGGCCTGGGCCGTGGACGCTCTGTCTCTGGATTGGGAGGGAATGCATGCATACGCACTCCCGCCCTTCAACCTGGTTGGCAGGGTGCTGTAGAAGTTTCGGGAGCATCAGTGTTCCCTCCGCCTGATAGCGCCCCTGTGGTCGAGGCAGCCTTGGTTTCCGAAGCTTTTGTCGCTTCTGGTGGAAGAGCCCCTGGCTCTTTCTCTCAGAGCGAATCTCCTTCGCCAGCCTCGTCCAGGACGATGAACTCTCGTCCGGAGATCATCCACCTTTACTCAGGAGGCCTCGCTCAGGCGGGCTTTTCTAGGCACGTATCAGATCGCATCGCTCGATCAATTAGGTCTTCCTCATCTGCCGTCTACTAATCACGATTAAAGATTTACAGTGATTGGTATGTCGGCAGAAAGGTTGAACCGATCAAAGCTACTGTACAGGTGATTGCGGACTTCCTTATTTGGCTGTTTAGGGACCGCAATCTTGTCCCTGGCACTATCGCTAGTTATCGCACGGCCATTGCTAGTGTTCTCTCTATTCATGGTAGGCCGGAGGTAGGATCGTCCTCCTCTCTTTCTGCCTTAATTAGGGGGGTTGGGTTGGACAGGCCTATGATCCGGCATTTGGCGCCGCAGTGGAATTTGCCACTGGTGCTCGAATCGCTGATGCGGGCACCTTATGAGCCTTTAGCGTCTGCCCCCTTGAAGTTTGTTACCTACAAGGTGGTATTCCTTATTGCCCTGGCCTAAGGTCGAAGGAGGAGTGATATTCATGCCTTGTCTTCTCACCCCTCTTGCTTCCGGTTGCCCATTAAGCAGGGTCAGCAGTATATCTCCTCTCAGTCAGTGTCTAAATGGATCTGTCAGGTCATCAAGTACGGTTACGACCTCCCAGATGATAAGTTTCGGGCGTTGTATAAGGTGAGAGCTCATGAGATCAGGGCCCTTGCTGCGTCATGGGCCCTCCTCAATGGGTCCCCCTTTCAGGAAGTCATGTCCGCAGCTTTCTGGCGCGGACAGACTACCTTCACGGATTTTTATCTCCGGTCATTGGCTTCTCATTCTGATGGATTGTATTTCCTTGGACTGGTGGTGGTTGCACAGTCTGTGGCTGTTCCTCCACAGTAATTCATTGAATTTAAATAGTATGCTATCAGGCACCACGGTGGTACACCTGCTCGTTTCACGGGGAGGTTTTCCATTTTTTGATTACTTTCGGGACTTTATTATGGGGGTTCCTTGAACCTTTTCCCATCCTTGAGCATGTCTCGATTTTGTTCCGTCAGCCTGGTCTGCCTGGATTCAAAGCCTCCACTACGGTAAGACGAATTCGCATACTAAAGTTATGGTAATTATTACTGAAATGAAATTGAGGTTTTTGAAGTAAAACCAATTTTCATGATGTAATACTTACCATAACTTTATGGAGTCCCATCCTGTATTCCTCCCCTTGCCTCCTCATCCCGGCTGCCTTTAGGCTCCAAAGGAGGGGCTTGAGGAAGCATGTATTGTGTATGCATACTAAAGTTATGGTAAGTATTACATCATGAAAATTGGTTTTACTTCAAAAACCTCAAATTTAACGGAATAGTTAACTCTTAGGTACCTTGTAACGAGTTGAACATCCTTATCATCCATTTAAAATTTAAGCGATGCATCCGTAGCAGCGCGTATTAAAAATGCCCCGCTAGACATGGTTATTAGTTAATTATTTATTGGGCATATGCATGGTAAAACATGGTGAACATGTTGAATCGTGGGGTACATTTTGTTTCAAATTGTAAAATAAATTGCAAAGAGATACGTCCAAGCGGGACAACCGTACTCAATATAGTAGTTGCCAATGATGGTTTTGCTAAGTTCTTTAAAGCTTCACCCGACAGAAATGACATTTGTATAGATAGACAAAGTAAGCTCTTAAGCCTATTCATTGAAATGAATATTCAATTACTATTGATCATTGCTATTAATATTCCCCTCAAAGAAACGTTAAAGTACAATGATTAGTTGGTGGGTAATAGGTTTTTTTAAGTAATAGTAATAGTAATAATCTTCGATACCAAGGTCTTTGAGTTTTACAGAATATAATTTTCTTTTTGCAGAAACAATGGCGGTAATAGTTTGATTTAAAAAAGAATATTAAGCTAATATTCTTTGTAGGGAAGTGTATGGTTTTGGATGTTACAGGCAAAAAGGAAACTTCACTTATTGCGTAAAAAAACATTTTATTTAGAATTATCATAATCTTGACATTTGACCTTCGGCCCGAAAAGCAATTCAAGACAGGCGCAATTGTATTGGAAGTGAAAAAAAGGTTATTTAAGAGTTATCTGCTTTATTTTATCAATAAATGTTCCCGATATCGTAGTAGCGACGGCTGTGACTTTTAAGCTTTACACCAAATGTAATCAAAGGTAAACCGTTTTACTGAAAAAGCACGTACAATGTTTTGAGTAAATTTAGCCTAAGTTATTGTGCAGAAATAGATGAGACAGACGAACGAGAGTTATCCATATATCCAATCCTGATAAGTTATTATCAAAAACTGGGTTACAGCTATTGACATCAATGGCATGCGTAAAGCAATAGACATAGCCGTATTACACTGATTTATAACATGATACATCTACCCGTCCAACTGCAAACCCAAAACATCAGTCCATGTCGTTTTTAAGTAAGATGTGTTTTGTAAACAGTTTTGAGCGTGATATTACCTCCATCTTACTTAATAAATAGTTAGGGTACTCCTAGTCCGAATTATTCTGACGTTTTATCGACTTTTTTTAATATCGGTCTCTCGTCGATTAACGTCGGAACTCCGGCCCTCTATAATATGCGGGAAATATTCGACCCGCGCCCGGAGCGCACTTCAAACTGATATTTTAGAAACAAATCGTCAATTCCACACACATGTTGCACATGGATCGAAAGATCTATTCTGTATGCACTAGGTGGTATCAATAACATGTTTCAGATATCATTACGAACAGTATTTTCTAACGTTTTCTATACCAAACCATGTTTTTAATGGAAATTAGGGCATGAGCAATGTCACATGACTTGACGAGATATCGCGTTACCGAAGGTATTTCCCAACGTTATGACGTAGGCGGGCGAGATTTTAGTCACGTGGCATTAGAAGGCGGGGCTATTAAAAACGTGAAGTAAAACAGAATAAGTTTGAAAAAATATGTTTTTAGTGATTGTATTGGTTGTTTGAGGCATGGAATTTATGTTCATCTTGTGCATAAAAAATAGATTTTTCGATCCATGTGGGACATGGGTGTGAAAGTGACGATTTGTTTCTAAAATATCAGTTTGAAGTGCGCTACGGGAGGGGGTCGCATATTTCCGGCATATTGTAGAGGGCCGGGGTTCTGACGTTAATCGACGACAAACCGATATAAAAAAGTCGACAAAACGTCAGAATAATTCGGACTAGGGTACTCTTACAGCCATAACTGCATTTCAATTTATTCATGCATTATATTGTTTTGGTATTTTCTATTAATCGTAAGTGTAGGCATTGGCTTAGAAATGACATGTATTTCTTTGTATTTACCGGGTTGTATTTCCTTCAGATTGTCCGGTGGGAAAATATGGATTGTTGTGTAACAACAGTTGTTCTGAAACCTGCCTGAATAATATTTGCAATGCCAGAAGTGGAACTTGTGAAGGTATAATGTTTTATTACAAACCATATTTCGATACTATACATTATCATTCCGTGATAGAAACAAATAAAACCAATTATTGTATACGAGCCTTGAAATCCACTATTTATATATATATATATAATAAAATATGCCACCGTTTTTGTTATTTTTTGCATTATCTTTATCCTACACAAGATCTTTATAGCGTTACCATACATACGCTTGGTTAAGCTTAAATGTTTACAATAACGATTAATTTGGAAAGGTTCTTGTTTCTTGATATTATGAAGTCAATTCAAAAACAAGCAATTGTAGCAAGACAAAATCGGGACTCTTTTATCATAAATTACTCTTTTAAGTCCCTGGCAAATATCAGATATCCATCAAGGAAAAACGTTCAAACTATTTTCGAAAATTAAACGGACGCAAATCTCTCAGAAAATGTGTTAAAAATATTAAATCTATTGTGGTAAGATTGCCCTCTGTGTTTCAGAAAAACATGTACCAGGTAAAAAACGTGGCCTAGCCAGTGTGCTTTCTCTCAAACCCCTTACCCTTGGCGATCAACTATTTATAACTACGAATGTGATGTGGGCCACTTGTGTAATTGGAAATTTCAGGTTCACATTGAGTTCATTTCGGAATATTCGAAATAACAAAGCACAAGCTCTCAAAATACATCATCTTAGAAAAGAAACAGTGAAGCTTGACTAATGCACTGCTTGATTTCATCAAGTAGGATAGTTCTCACCGTCATTAAAATTAGTATTAAAATACACCTTACTGCGTTTAGCGATTAAATTGTATAATACTGCCAAAGATAAATGTTAAGCTGACTTACTTCTATTTTAGTTAAAGAAACAACGTCACTGGAACCACAACCTGGTAATACTGGGGTTATCGTAGGTGTTGTTGTGGCTGGACTACTTCTCGTAATAACAATCACAATCACTCTTTTTCTTATCAGAAGGTATGTCAGTTTAATGATGTTTACGTAAAGAACAAAGAATTGAAGCTTCACATCATTGATATAACCACATGCTTATAGACATATTTCGATTTGCAAGTTATATGTGCAACGTTGATTTATGAAGATAATTCTTACATATGTTTATAGTATGATCATTCATAACCTGCATATATTTCTATGATTTATCTGGAAAATGATGCGTACTTTAAGAAAATTCATATATTTTAATTGCAGGCGCAAACAAAATTCAGCTAAGCAAGACTCATTTGATGATATCAGCAGAAAAAATGTGTCGCGAACATCACATTACAACGATGGTTATGGTAATATTACTAGCGAAATACCAAAATATCACATAACAAAAATAGATCTGATTATATTAAGACAAAAATGACCGAAACACTAAATCACAGCGAAAGATATGGTAATTGAAGACAGAAATTCCCTAAATATTTATCACAAGGATAGCGCTATGATATTGTGAACAGAGAAATACCCAAAACATCAAATCATAATGACAGATCTGGCAACACCAGAGAAAGGTGTCCAAATCACCATATCGCGAAGATTGCTATATTGATATTAAAAGAGTGGGAACCTGAATATCATGCAAGAACGATACCGTCATACTGATGAAACAGGACAAACGTGTTTTTAAGATCACATAAATACAATACTAGGAAAGGGAAAGGTACTAAAATATCACATAACAACCATACTTACGTATAGAAACGTATCAGAGATATCTCGAACATCACATAAGAACAAAATAGTTATGGTAGAATACACAAAAACACAAAATCCAATGTTTTACGGTTTAAAACTATAAAGTGTCGTAACAATTTCAATCGGTTCCATTACAGAGCCAGAGGATTACTCAACAGAACCTGTGACGGAACAAGGAAACGTTTACGAAGTTCTTGATGTAGCAGAAACAGAATCCCTGACAGGTCAAAGGAACGTTTACACCAATGCTAGTAATGTAGAAATAGTGGGAAACGACATAGAAACATTGACAAACAACGTGTACGTCAATGCTAATGATGTAGATAAAGACAGTTCCAGAAAAGTATGCAAAGAGGCCGGTCCTGCTAGTACATGTATAGCTATTTCGGATCTCAAAGCTTTGGTGAAAACCAAGAGGATTAATAACGCAAAAGCCTTTGAGGACGAATACCAGGTAAGTTATAAACAAATTACTATATTGAGGTGTAGTAACAATGAACATTTTGCAGGGGTAGTTTGTTCCAGACTATCAAATTGCCGTAATATATCTAATATGTTAGGCCTTTACAAAAGTACAATCGTTGTTAATTATCTTATGTTATTTTGTGTGCAGGAACTACCTTCAAAAGCTATACACGAACATAACATTGGGAAATTAGATGAACATAGGCTGAAGAACAGGTTCAAATCGACGTTCCCTTGTAAGTCTGACATTTATTGTTTATTTATTATTTAAATATCAGTTCAAATAGTATAATAAGGATAAAAACAATCGTGATATTGTTAGGCTCAACAGTTAATATTACTGTGTGTTATGGTCAGAATGTGTAGGAAAGTGAGGATGCATGGAAGAGCCTACTAAGTCAAAGAAGAAAGGCAAAATTCCGAACAATTTTACTACACGTTGTGATATTTACTTCCATTTTGGACTCATCAGTGGTATTATAGGTCAACAAAAAGGAAATGAAAATACTGAAAAAAGGCCTTTGCTTGAATTTTGTTGTTATGTAATAAGAATAAATCCCGAAATTCTATTTTTTAAGGAGGCATTTGATTGATTACAATCTTAGCAAGTCAGTATGACAAGTATTAACTAATCGTATACTGTTTCTATTTGATAGATGATCATTCTCGCGTGATTCTTGACAAACTGGACAACGATTCACATTCTGACTACATCAACGCCAACTACATTGATGTTTGTATTTTCAAACAAAACATAAAGTTGTTTCAAAATAAGATCAAAGAGCAAAACTCATAGACTTTTTAATATGAAAACAATTAAATGGTATTTGTAAATTATTGTTGAAAAGCAAAACTGTTAATTGTTAGATTGGCTTACTGAAACGTAATTTAAAATTAACATAGGAACATCAAAAGTGTAAACTTAGTTTCGTACATTTCAGAGCGTCATATCACCTGCGGAGTATATCGCAACACAAGGTATCTATGTTTATTTAAATATGATTATTTAAAATGCATCAGCATATATGTATTTTTATATTATCAAACAAACATTTTCTCAAATATTGTTTGTTTGATAGTGCATGTTGTATTCATTGAAGATTCGAGAGTGTCCTTACATTTTGTAAAGCAAAACGTTCATGTTCTACATTAATACATTTGATATCAAAAACAACATGTTCAACATTCCTCGACATGTTGTTTCTACATGCCACAAATATATTGATTTCATTTTCGTAGTCCATTTTATGCATAGAGATTTCTTTTCAAACATAAAGAAAGACGGCTAAACGCTGATTTCGAAAACAATCAAAACGTACGCTAGATTCCAACTCTGAATTAACAGTCATGACGCCCAAGCTGATATTGTAAGGTCATAGTTAGATGATTTGAATAACGTTTACTCATTTGTCTGAAATTTGTCATACCTATGATGAGAATAACACAGTATCTTAATCGGTAGGTTTTTTTTGTGCACTTCCTTCCTGCGAATCCGTCATCCAAAATTTGCTAGGATGGCTTGAAAAGGGTTAAACTCACTAGCTGAAAGGGATTTATTCATATATGTATACTGCTGTATGCTTGTACATTTCTTTTAAATTAAACTACATTATTGCATAACCATTACGAAATAGGTCCATCAACTTATCTCAATCACTTTTGATGGTCCGAATGGAAGAATGCATGGAAACCGCGTTACCGCAGAAAAGCTATGCGGTTGGGCAGTTAAACCATTCCTTTTGTATGATCGAACGGATAATGGAATCCCGGTCATCATGGTGAACAAAGAGGAGTGTGCTACCCACTGCGCCTACCGACCAGCCATAAATAAACATAACTCAAATCATCCGTTGTCTTTTATTGGTTGATGAATTCGTTCTTTACATAATTGCATTTGAGATAAAACTGCATCGGTCAAAACAAGCTGCCAAACAAACGACTTTTATGGCGGTATTGCAAATTCAAACTAACCATATATATATATATATGCACTGTGATTGAATTGATCAGGTCCAACGGACATAACTGTAGATGACCTGTGGCGTATGATCTGGCAACTTAAATCTAGAAAAATCGTTATGCTGACCAACCTTATTGAAGGAACAAGGGTAATATTTTAGTTTATTGAGTGCTAGAGCTGTTAAATTGATTAACAAGACATAATACATTTTCAGAAGTTAAACTGTCGTGTAAATTTATTTACACTAAATTACTGAAAATATTTTATATAGATCGAAGTAAAGTTATCATCTTTGTTGAAAATATTTTATATATTTCAAATTTGTTATCTTGGTCATACAACACATATGATGATATGGTGTATTTTTTCCTGTCTGGTTTCCATATAGTCAATATATACCGTTTATCTGCAGAAACCCATAGTAACTTTCATTTAATTTCCACTACTAAAGGAAAACACGTAAAAGTCCTACGGAATATTGCCTACAAATAGCCTGTTTTCAGCAGAAAAGATTTGTCCAATAATAAACATAACGCATACATTGTACATAGCAAAATATGAAACATTATTTACAAAACTATGGTTCCTACCTGAACGTCGTAGTTGTTATGGTGTAAACTATTGGTACATTGGTGATCATATAAATCAATTTTATCACAGAAAAAGTGTGCAAAATACTGGCCTGATGAGGGAGAACCGATGTCTACTAAACATTTCGAGATCGTCCTAGATAGAGAAAGGATTTACGCATTCTATGTGATCCGGGATATCATTCTCACAGAAAAGAAGGTAATCTTCATTTAATTTCAATCCAAATCGTGTCCTGTTCCTGTCGCGAACTAAATATCTTTAAAACAAGTTGTTAGTACATGTTTCAAGAAGAATTTGCGTAAATTACTCCTCCAATCTAGACAGCTTTTACCTATATTACGAAATCATTAAAAAAAATACTACTTTTTTTGGAAGATTTATCTTTCTTTATTTGTCTTAATAGCTCGTATGTCCTCTGTTTCATATGTTCCTTGTGTGTTTAATTAATTATGAAGACAGTAATGATGTGCTGTGTAAGCGTTCCTTGATTAATCATAAGTGCTTGAAATTCAACTTTCCTAGACCAAATCCGTGCGGCAAATACACCAGTTTCACTACACCACGTGGCCAGACCACGGAACTCCGGACCCTAATGAACTTGTTGTTTTCCATCGACGTGTGAAGCATTACAACAACATTTTAACAGGAAAGTTGATTGTTCATTGCAGGTAAATTTGCGTATTTTGACATTACTTAAGTTATTTGGATCAATATGTACAAAAAGTGTTCGACAAACCTGACAACACTGGAAATGATGATAGAGAATATTATCAAACATATATGCAATCCGTCAGTACAATCTGTGTATCCGGTTTATCATTGAAAATGTCCCTTTTGTCAAATAGATGTAACTCCCTGCAGATTAAGAGAAAGAAAATACCGGATGTATCCCACTCTTTGTGAGAGGCGACTTATGTGGGACCTCCTGCAGTATTGTTGGTTTCTTCCTTGTCTTCTGCTTAGGTAACATAGCAGCAACCAGAAAAGATCTGCTGCTTCCAATGCATCGCGTGAGATCTATATATCTTCCTTCCTCTCTTACTTACTATATCCTTTAGGCGTTTTCTCCCTAGGCACCTGTCTCCTTATGATCATTTCTGTTGCGAGAAAGTTAACCCCATGCAAGCACGGTTTATGGCAAGGACCAGGTTGCTTTCGAGGGAATTATAAAGTCTCATCAGAGTGCCTTACATTTTCAATTACTAGTATTCATCACGTGATTGATATTAAAGTTCATTTAAAGACATTGTTTCAAGTCATTATCGCACATGGAGATAATGAAAAATGAAACTTGTAGTAGTTATAGAAAAAAAACAGATGACCTTATCAATTAGCTTTGACAATTCTGTTGAACTATGTGTTATTATATAGTGCAGGTATCGGACGAACAGGAACGTTCATCGCGCTGGATGCTTTGTTCGAATACGGCAAAGAAAATGGAGTTGTTGACGTCATGGAATTCGTTCGAACCATGAGGAAGGACAGAGTCAATATGGTTCAAACCAGTGTAAGTGTTATAATGCATAAAACAAACACGCCTGTCTTTTAATGATACTGTAGACCATAAATAAAACACTCTCATGTTAGATTAGTTTAACGCCATATATTATTTCTGTAAAGAAGGTACATAAAATGTATTGATAAAATCAAAGAAGGTTTCTTTTTTAGCAATAAAATATCTTGTGGCATCTTTCATATTATGTAGAAATGTGTTTAATATCTTCACACAAAGTAATGAAATATTATTATTTTGATCAGGACCAGTATATCGCTATCCACAACCTCCTGATTGAGGCGTTTGACATGCCAGACACCCTTGTACCAAGAATGAAGTACCATACAACACTTAAGTGTCTGTGTGATGATGCGCCCGTCAATCAAACAAAACTATGGAGAGAGTACAAGGTCACTTTTTAACTCTAAATTCATATATCAGAATATAGAAATGCGTAATAGTTTATCTTCTATGCCCTCATTTTGATTCAATAGCATGCTTACTGCTTACACAACTACGAAAAGTGTGGCTCACATTTGAACGGATTTGTCTTTCATAGCATTATTTCATATCTTAAGAGTCCGTGTCTGTATTGGGACCAACGTTATATTCTGTCAACGGCCTGCGGCTACAGAAAACAGTCGGGTTGGTCATAACATATCGTGCTAAAATTTTGACTTTTGACTTATAAAAAATGGAATAATTGCTTGGTTACCTCATCAATAGAAAACAAATGTTATATGACATTACTTGCATCTTTAGTTTCTTCAAACCATGACATCATTAATGCCGTCAACAAATCCATTTTAACTATTAAAAAGTTTTAACAGATTAAATTTGGCTGAATGATGCTCGCAGCTGTTGTTCAATCAGAGACTGCAAAACAACGGTCACAACTGTTGACTGGGCAAAATATATATATATATTGAGTGACTGGTTATGTTTTCCTTGCACTTTTTTTCTAGTGCAACAGTCACGTCCCTAGGTTTTTTTAATTCGCTAGGGGGTTAAGGATTATGTGCAGGGCTTGTGCAAGTTTAGTAATGAAAAGGAAGGAATTCAGCGTACTTCTCTTTCGTCTATTTTTGACCATGTTTTGACCATGTCAAAATTTACAGGCAATGATGTGTAAAATAACCGCCGAATACCTAAAAATAGAGAATATCCTTAGTAAACACACTAAGTTAATAAATGAAAAAGGATACCGGGGAGATTACGCATTTTCTTATTTGTTTTCTGATTCCATAACTACACATTAAATGTCATGAGTTGCGACATTAATATATACATATACGTATACGCTCATTGGCTTAACCCTTATTTCCTTTATATAAGCAAAAATTCTAAAAAAGATAACCTGGAAAAATAGGAAGCAATTACACGTTGGGCAAAAACTTTATGTCGTTGGTGTTTTTCTGCTGTCATGAAGGTATGTGTATTGACATGTGTATAAAAACAACAAAAAGAAAAGAATAAATTGAGTTAAATAACTGACTCCGGTTCAATACTACTCGACCCCGAACATTGTTAAAGCGATAGAGGGGCCTTTGTTACTGTAGAGAGTGTTTTGAAACTGTTTAAATACGTCTCCAAACAATATTTCCTGTGTTTTACTCTCTTTTGTTGTGTCATTGAAACGTAACTGAATGAGTTATATTTTGTTAAATCAAAATATGATGTATATACACACGCAACAAGAGAATTGGTTCCAGGAATTAAAAAGGGTTTAACTTTATCTTTATCTTTACTATTATCTTGATATTTGTTATTAAACCCTTATGATCAGTATAACCATATTTTGACATTTTTTAGCTGATACAAGACATCAAGCCTACCTATACAGAAAATGACTATAAAACAGCGACGATTCCCGCTAATAGGAATAAGAACAGGGACCCGAATATCTTAGCAGGTATGTTATTTGTACCGTTCAATACAGAGCACTATTTTTAAGAATATTTAAATTGATCAATCCCCACCTTATATGAATACATTTTGAAATTTTTTTATTTTTTTTTTCAGTTGACAAATTCAGAGCTTACCTGTCGTCATCCTCCTTTGGTAGAACAGATTATATCAACGCAGTGGAAATTCCTGTAAGTTTTATTAATTTTCAACTCGCATGCCTACTAACATCGCAATACCATAAAATTGTTGTCCCATTGCGCTACATCAAATGTTTTGTACTAGTAATGCACCAACAAATAGTTTCATAAACAGGTTCCAAAATATAGAAGTCAACTTTATCCATTTCGCCTAAACGTGCTGCTAGTACAACCTATGCCATGAGTTGTTATCAACAATTTCTTCAAAAAAGTTATATATATATTTATTTAAAAAACTAATCATCTTTCTATCTTTGTTAAAATGCTTGATGTTCAAATGTATTTCTATTTCATTTGTCTCTTACTGAAACACTAAAACATTTGATCATTGTGATCTACCATCAGTTTTTTTAACTTAACTATGTTTCCTGAAGTCCTACAAATCTAGAACAGGCTACATCGTCACCCAGACTCCTTTAAAGGACACCGTAGTCGATCTGTTGACATTGATAATGGACCGAGATTGTGATACTCTCGTGATTATTGAAAACGATCAAATGGTAAGTGTATAATCTTTTGTTTGTATTTTATTGACTAGTAAATTCTGTTTTAAGATAAAATAACATTGCTTTCGAATCAATACCGACACTCTGATAATTTTTTCATAAACAAAATAATTTGAATACATTAATTCATTTATTTTACAATCGTCGCATTCATAAAAAGGTTTAAAATCATCCAGAACATTTTGGCTCGATTTGATCTCTTAATTACTGATAAGTGTGAATCATTTCGACACTTTGTTGTTTTGTTTACAAGAAATGGTTGCCAGAAGAAGGCAATGATAAATCCATTGGATCGTTCAAACTGAGACACGGAGGAGGGTCGTCAAGTCTGACTAATACAGATTTGATTGATGTTTCTATCTCTAATCAAGTAAGACATTTTTCTCGATTCTTTTATGCTTTGCAGTAAGTTTTGTGCAATATTTTACACATTTCCCGTGTATAACCGATATCTTGGCCATAATCACATTATATACCGATATGCTTGTTTCTTTGATGTTTTCTTAAAGTTTATTTACTATATTTGTAAGTGATTCCTTTAGTAAAACACTTGTAATCCAAATGTTTCATGTATGTAGAATACTGCAAATACGCATGAATTATGTTAGCAAATAGAGAAAGTATGTCAAATATTGATAAAACGGTGTTTTTACGATATATTGCGTTCATAAAATAATGGTCACGGAAGTGTTCTTCATTACATCTGATATTTGTCTTTTAGTTATATAATGTTAACTAATTCGCATAATCAATAATTCCAGGAACAGAGATATGATGCCAGAATCAGGGTGTTCCAAATTACTGGTTGGGATAGACACGTGTCAGTCCCACCGGATTCTCCAGGTCTCCTTCAGCTTTTAGAACTTCTTGACAGTAGACGACGGTCAAACGACTCGAAAAAAACCGTTGTCATGTGCAGGTGTGTGATAAATGTTAATGCCATTACCCCTGATTATGTACACGTTATCTGATACCAGTACGATACCACGACCAACGGGGTATCATTTCTTATAAACAACATCATGTACAAAACACTAAGTATACAAAAGGAAATAGGTCATACAAGTAACTGCCTTTGTACAATCGATGTGGAATAATTATCATCATATATCACCGTCAAATGTTTGATAGTTCATTCTTTAAATATCGCTAAAGGAATTAATTGATTTTTCATCAGCATATCAGAATGGTCAGTAATGCAAATGATGCTTCGTCAGCACGGTTGTCAAACATGTACGGCGATTCGGTAACAACTTTGTTATAGCATTCATCAGTCCCAAACATTGACATTAATATGGCAAATTATATCATCCTCTACAAGACGTGTTTGCTTGTCTTTTGATAGGTAGAAAATCAGTGTAAGGAATTTTCATTTGAAAATATCACTGATTATCTACATTGTACTTTGCTTTCACCCTTTCGAATTATATTGTAATCCAGTAATTTATTAAGAGTTGCCTCCTCTTTACCAATAATAAACAAAGCGACCACTGAATAACACAGAGGATGACTTAAATTTGCTCTGTATAGCTCCTTTGAACTGTATGGGTATTTCTATTTCTTGTTTATAAAACATCCTTTACTTAATACTGTTTTAGTTTTAATTTGGGAGACGCAATCATCATAGCGTAAACATCGTTAAAGTATGTTTATATACTCAACCCCCTATGTAGTATCGAACTTTTCCATTTTTTTAAAGTTTTGTATATGCCTGTGACATAAATATATATATAATTCTCATTTTTTGTTGTGCATATCTTTTCAGAGACGGTAATTCCCAGAGCGGACTATTTTGCTGTATCAGCAATGCTAGAGACCAAATGAAGATTGACGAGGAGGTCGACATATTTCAGATTGCTAGACAATTGCTTTTTAGACGCCCGGAATTCATCACCAACTATGTAAGTAAGATATCAATATTAATATTCAGTTCATCAGAAAACAAGTAATGTACATGTTGAATTGGAAGCTGATTGGCTAATCTCTATTAGCTGGAAAAGAAGATCGACATTTTTGGAATGAATGTCATGAGTATGCAGGATGTGTACTGACGTTCATTTTATTCTGATTAACAGGACTTTTTTGTTTTTAGCTCACTTGATCCAAAGGAACGGTGAGCTTAATCTATGGCGTAACATCCGTCGTCCATCCATAGTCTGTCATTTCTCCTACATGTCCTGAACGGCTCAGTGATTTTGGCTTAATTTGATCCTTGGAAACAAGGGGCTACATTTTGTAGAAACAGAAGGTGTGGCTCCGCTAGTGGGCAGGGGCCGATGCTTAATGGGAATATATAGGTAAATCGTTAAAATGATTTTCCTTCTGTTCCAATTGAAGAATTTTAACGAAATGGATACGTTGTCAACAATTGATATAAATCATTTACACCAATCTATATTAACATCAATTGAATACTACCACGCATGCATCAAAAATAATGATATATGTTAGAATGCATATTGATAATTCATATTTCAGATTTATTTTACCAAGATATATCTTGTTGTAGGACCAGTACAAATGTTGTTACCATATGATAAAGGAGTACCTGGACACCACAGATGTATATATGAACTAACACAGTAAGACAAGTACCGGTGTTGTTATAACATAATAAAGAATAACCTAGACACTACCGATGCAAATCTTACCTAACAAAGTAGGACCAGTACCAGTGTTGTTACAACATCATAAAGGAGTACCTGGACACTACAGACGTATATATGAACTAACACAGAAACACCAGAACCAGTGTTGTTAAAACATTATAGAGGAGTACCTGGACACTACCGATGCATATCTTAGCTAACACAGAAACACCAGTACCAGTGCTGTGTAATAAAAAACGATTAAGGATTACAATGGAACCAATGATGTGTAAATAAACGGACACTAAGCAAATTCAATCCAGTATGTTATATGATGCGATGCAAAGCAAGTTTTTGCCTTTGGTGTTTTACGCAAAGACCTTTACCAGTTGCTCGCCTTATCTTATTATCAAATTTCTGTTATATTATCATCAATGTATAATATATCAAATCATGTATATATAGAGGATATTAGTTATCACATATTGTATTCAGATGGCCCACGATCGACCCAGTCCAGTCCACCACAAGTGTAAGGCTAAGCTGTCCAAATTAACATTGATGCTTATCTGTAAGTGTAACTGTATTACTAAGGATTCACAGACGAAAATTAGTGATTTTTATTTCTGTAGTTATTTAAACATAAAACTGTCATAATGGATTTTTCTTTAAAATATTCAATTTGTTTGGAGAGTGTATTTATTATATTGACCAGACGTATCCGACTATTTTTAAATATTAATAAAATATAATAACTTTTTACACACGAGAGAAATATTTTAGGGTTAGCGTTAGAGGGAGAAAGTTCAATTGTGTAATGGCAAGGACATTGATACTAATATATGTGTTCCTAGTAACATTATGTCGTTCATTTATCAATCCAAAACATTAACCCTTTCTTGCATGTACCTGTGAGAATCAGTAGATTATTTTTCGATATCATCATCTACACATTTTAACATAAGCAATTTATCAGGAATCTGTATATAAATTAGTTATCTTGTGTTGATATGCATTGTTGCTGCTGATGAAACTTTTCTTGTTGTATAAGATATATTTTAATTTGTTGTATTCAGCTTTATCTTTATGTAAATGTTGTTACCCTTGTTCATCCTGTCTCCTTTAGGAAGGAGGTTTAGTAAATATAGTGTTTATCGAGAAATAATAATGCTGGGTATATTTTTTTAATTTTATACGGAAAATATTTCAAACTTTGTTGGAATACTTATGAAATAGGGCAATTAAATGGTTATGAGAACGTAAGATCCTGGCCAAAGTTACTTGTATTTCATTCCAAATACGATTTACAAAGATACTTTAGAAAGTTGATATCATGTGTGATATATTTGTCAATAAATACTCGAGCAGCTGTGTCTTGATCATCATTTATGACCGAAAGGACGGGCCACACGTGGGTAAACTGGCTCAATTTTAAAGTCTTCAAACTCGGATGTGCTGGATTGAAACACTCTATAGGGACATACACGTCTTTAGGTGCTTATCCGTGAACCGGAAGATGATGTTACTTTTGAACAGGATACATGAAGTATTATAATGATTACATGTAACTATTGATAAGAGTAAAGTGATATGGTACGGATTATTAACTATAACTGACAGATCCAGATTAATGATAGCAATCAACATAATTGACCTTACTACCCTCTCACACATGTATATCCTTCCCCCAAACACTTACACGTCCCAGCCAAAGTGCTAAGCACTCACACACTTGAAAATGACCTTTATCGCATTTAACGGCTCAGTGGATTTTGACCAAATTCGTAGAATTAAATAATATAAGCTTTCACAGTAAAGGTAGAGTTTTTAAAACTGCGAAATAATATGGCCGTTATAACAATTTCATTGCTGAATTTGACGATCGGGTTACCGAACAGCTTCTTCATATCATTCCCCCGAAACATCGTTTTTTCATATCAATCACAACTGATTATACATGTTCGTTTGACGGTACCGGCTGCGTGTCACCCAACTTGACATCAGCAAGTCTTGTCGTTTTTTACTTGACGTAGGCCAAGCAGACTAGCAGACGGCCGATTGTTTATCCCGACTCCCACGTGAATGAAGCGGTCTGAAATCCCACTTATCTCAGCGTTACATCGTGGTACTAGTCACCGGCAAGTAATCAACGGTATCGACATGGACCGCCTCTGGACTTACATACGAGATGAATCGCAATGCAAAAACATGGCACTTGAAAAGAACTGTACGTGCATCTCTATGCGCGGTCACTTTTTGTGCACTGTCAAACCACACTGTCGCCCGTTGCTAGTACAACATTAGACTTAACCGATCTAATATATCTTTATTTTATACATATTCTTTTTCTATACTCACTTACAAACCGAGACTTTACCAGGTACAGGACGTTTTTAAAGTCAATAAAAGGGCGTTGGGAAGCACCCTTTTATTGACTTTTTTTGTTAAAACGAGTATGACAATATGAAATAAACAATTTGCCTCGACAAATCAGATTACAGGATTTTTGCTAGAGATATAATAAATCATTATAGAAATATTGTAAATCACGAAATCAAGGGCAGTGATTGCTCACAACATATTTACCTAGACTGAATCTCTTCGTGCCTAACTGTCAAAAAGGAAGACATTTTGACCAAAACAAACACTCTCCGTACACTGCAGTTGACTCAAAAAATAAAGCGTTCAGGTGCGGGCAAACAAAGAACCAGGACCTACATGTAAAACGTCCTGTACCTGGTAAAGTCTCGGTTTGTAAGTAAGTATAGAAATAAAGTATGTATAAAATAAAGATATTTTAGATCAGTTAAGTCTAATGTTGTATTTTCGCGTTTCTTTTCTCAATATGATTATTTTCCATCCGTTTACATACCTCTTATTTCTTCAATTTCAATCTTTTGTTTCGAAAAAACAACCGATAAAAATGTTGTATAAAGTAACGTTAAGCTAATCATGCACCGACTTTTAACAACCGGGTCTAGATGACTTGATAAAAAAAACATTTATAATAAAGTGTATCCGATTGAAAACTTATTGAATATATGCGTCCTCAAATTTCGAAATAGCTAATTGTTATGCTGTCGAGAAGTTTGTATATATACGACTTTGTATAAGATGTTTACTTCCTGGTTGTGTTTCACTCACAGTGGATCGAACTAACATGGCGGCACGAGGAGCTGTTCATGTCTGGAACGTATTATTGATCCTGTTTATAAGTGTACGTCCGTCGAGATTCGAAGGTATGTTTATTTATGTATTTCGCTGCAGCTGAATTCATTCTAACCTGTACCATTATAGTAATTTGTTAGACACATGTTTTGACATCTAGAAATAACAGAACTAATAGGTTTCTCTTTCCGATAAATGCTTCCTTCCATTTCTATAGGCAATACTTTAAACGATGAACTTATAGATTACATTACATTAGATTAAACGCCTGGCAATATCAATTTACACCAACTGATTTTAACTTTGTGCTCGGATTTTAAAATGCTGTAGAAAAATTAATATTTTCCGATGTACATACATAAAAATACTTATGTGTCAAAACCGTATTATAAACACTATACAACGCCGGCCCATATTTAAAGTATGTCACAGTTTCCGTATTATTAACACTGTAAGACGTGCTGAGGAAGAGAGATATTGTTAGAAAAATATGTTGCGAGAAGTTGGCTCAATATATACCATAAGACATTAGGATAAATTTGTATTTTCAAATATTGAACGGCTCGACATACGGTATTCAGATTTTGAATGACGAGCATCTCGAAATATGACATTCAACCTGAAAACTTTCAATTAAGTAAAAAGAAATGACGATGGAAAGTTGGGAGGGGGAAGCGTCTCAACAAAGTTGAATATAGTATTGAGCTGCATTACTTTCAAAATCTGAATGTTGAATGGCATATGCCCCGCCACGCGACATGAAAAAATTACATGATTTTTTTCTCCCTCTTGAATAATGGAAAAAGGTAAGCAAAAATTGAAGCATCTACACTGAATAAACTAATTAAATCACTCCATTCTATGCTTATACTTGAGCCTCATGTAAATATGAAATGGATATCAGAATTTAACAGTGGGTTGTAACTGCTACGTTTACTTGATAATTTAACGACATTTTAGGCAGACTTTACAACTTATTTATGGATGTGGACCAATGTGCTGTCAATTAATTCTAAAATCGCCCCGGTGTGATTCACACCGGGCTTGCTCCATTACAAGGCATGGGATCGATTTAATACCTAGCCGGGGCAGAGGAGGCCGGGTATTAATATTAGTACTAGGTTGTAACATCACAACAGACATATGGCAAACTTCCTTTAAAACCCCAGTCGTTACATAACCTAACAATGAAAGGCGGTGACTCAAAACCCAATTAAACTGATCACATGTCAATAAACAGTGTACTGGTTCTTCGCCTGTAAAACTACAAACTACACATTGACAAATGTGTCGTGAGGTTTGTATTGTATATAAGGTCACAATTTGCGTGTCGTAATAAAGCATCGATTTACACTACATGCTTTCAAATATATAACTTTTCGGGTTTCCTTGTCATATCTTTGACATGCAAAGGGAATATGAATACCATCTTAACTACAATGCTATGTTTGCAAAAGACGTGTTCAATAGAGAAGTTGAAAAAGAACAGTGACATATATGAAAACATTGCTGTTCAAGCATGGCGTGTCTTAAATTGCAATAACACAAATAGAAAAATCCAAATGCGTTTGATCAGTGAACCTATTTTACGCGACATTTAGCAATGCCATGGATGAAACCTCGATGTGAATTTTTTTTTCGAAATGAATCAAAAAGTTATGTGTATATGTCTAATATCACCATAGCGTCCGTATTGTTGCAAACATCGTCATGGTAGGCAAGATACAATAAAGATAGTTACAAATATCTCTTGTGGGTACTTTTTTGTATAGTTCATGGTATAAACACCTTACGTATGATTAAAATAAAGTTGACCAATGCTCAATTAATGTTTCATAAAATCAAGAGAGTTTATGCTCTTCCCCTTCTGTTTCAACAGTAGCATGGCAAATTACACTGTAGTATTATTAAATGTTGTCCCCTAGTATCACAAATGAGTCCGGGGGGAACACCTTGATACATGTACATGAAATATTACAACAAAGGGATGCTGGCAACCTTCTTATTCCATCGATGCAAATTTCCTTGCGGTAAAGTAAACAATGGCGGCTTCGTTCGGTATCATTCGACCGCGTCACTACCAATGCAGTATGTGAATGCGCGAACATAACGACCGTTATAAGTGAATAAGAATGCTTCAAGGGCATAACTTGATTTAATAGATATGAAAAGAAGAAAATTAGTGTCGTTCGCTGTGTAATTTCTAAATTTATTCATATATCAATGTGGATTCACCGAAACTATGAATGTATTCTCCACGGCTACCATAGTTAGCATCGTAGCAACCTGCTTCGAAACATTTGTCTTCGTAGCATTTAATATTATTTTCCGTGTAAATATACATATTCATATTGACGCCGTAAACGGTAGTATATATAAACGCAGACGACATGGAGCGCTACATAAACAATATGTGTGTTGTCACCTGCGTACGCCGTCTAAATGAAAGTAAATCCATATTTATGTTTTTGATTTAACAACAGTTTGTGTTATGAAAAGCATAACCAATGATTTCTCGGATAATTTATTCTTAAATTCCATGTGTATATCATTTTGCTTTTATATCAAAAAAACAAGACTTGGAATTGAGCTATTTGCCTGTATCCATTGATGTCGGGGAAATTAGAGGATAAGATGTGTATTTACCGCCACAGCCAATAAAACATTATTACACTATTTCACAGAACACTTATAAATGGAATGACATCATCGCTGCAGAATAATTTGTCGGTCGATCAAATTGACGTACATAGCTGATTTACGACACTACGATGATATCGTATTTCTCACTGTAAAGCTGTGTAAATATCATTTCATATTTGATTACATATATAGGTATTGACATTGTATAAATGTTTGCTCCCCAAATTGTGGTAAAGTGCCTTTATATAATGATATTATAGATTAGCACACTGTATTTTCAGGGTTTGTCGTGAGAACAATTTTCTCAGGGCCAGCACAAGGATAAAATCGAGAGGCCACCGCAGGCAAACCCTGAAAATACTGTATGATCAACCATTTATCATTTATATACTACTACCTTCTATATTTTTCCATTTAAAAAACTCGACTAAACACCATGTTTTCCAAATGACTTCTAAGCACAATAGTCAACGATCGCCTGTGACAAACGTAAACAAATATAAGTTTTGCGCAGAGGAAAACAATTAAGCATTGAACTGCTTTTGTATGGTATTAATGATCTACAGTCGAACCTCGTTATCTCGAAGTCAACGGGATCGCTGGAAAACTTCGAGTTATCCGAGTATTCGAGTTAAGCGAGTTCATATGTTTGGCATAAAGCTTGGTAAAGTGTCTGGTCAAATATGAGGCTATCAATACGTTGACTGTCGGAAAAATCAACAACTTATATAAACAGTCGATAAATGACAAAAAGATAACGATATAAAATAAAATTAACAATTTATTCATAATCATATTAATTAATTGATACAAATCAATGTTACAATAAACACACATACAAACAGGAAGAACGTCTACTGTAAAACTTACATGCTGTCTCCGACCTCGCTGTGCTGATAGCGGAAATGAAAGTGGGCAGGTCTTTACACAAATCACGGTATTGGAGCGTACACGTAAATGATGTTTTTAATGAGTACACGCGAAAACAATACACATCGTAAATAAACACATTAAAGCACTATTAAAACACATTTACATTTAAGCACCGATAACAAGTCACGGAGCACTAACGACATATAGCTACTACATATTAATCAATACAATTTCAAATGGCGGAAAAAATGTCTATCCACTGAGAACACAGTTTATTCTATAATGTCACTTATCACCATCTCGCACGGAAACAAAGTCCTGGAAATAATCCTCCATCGTTGACTGTTGTAAGTTTCTGGTCCTGTGGGTAAGATCCTCGAGGATGATTTCATCTGATAGTCGCAGTATTGAGTGGATCTGGGCAGCTTTGTTTGGACGGGTCTCCAGGTATCGAAGAAGGATGTCGCAGGCATTTGAAGCCATATCTGTAGTTGGTGGTGGTACAGGCTCACAGTCATAAGTGGACTCAATGTCGTTGCCATCAATGTAAATGCCCTTACTCTCAAGAACCTCATCAACGATGTCTTCATCAGTCATGGTGGCGCTGGTCGGTATATCATCGTCAACTGATGCGTAGTGGCTAAACGGTATTGGTAGGTGCAGCAGCTGTGCAAGAGGGATGTCATCCTCATCATCGTCGCTGTTGTCAGTGGCATCAAGTGTAGGGGCGGCCGTTGTAAAACCAGCATGGTGAAAACAGTTGCGAATGGTGGTCTCTGTAACACATCGCCAGGCTACTGCTAACAACTTCATAGCATCGAGTACGGAGATCGCAGCTTCCTGCTGACGGTCTATGGCTTTGACGTGGCGTAGGATGATACGTTTGCGGTAGTGGATCTTCAAATTCTGGATCACCCCTTGGTCCATTGGCTGGGTCTTACTGGTTGTGTTCGGTGGAAGAAAGATGAGTTTGATGGCCCGTAGATCTTTGATGTTAGGATGAGCTGGACAGTTGTCGATGATCATAGCGATATGGCGGCGTTGTTTGTGGAATGTTTTGTCAGCTTTCTGGACCCAGTTGGTGAAAATTTCAGAAGTCATCCACGCTTTCTTGTTGGCAGTGTAGTCTGTTGGTAGAGAATGTACATTCTTAAAACAGCGTGGCTTGGCAGATTTCCCGATGATGAAGAGTGGGAGTTTCTCTGTACCGGTCATATTAGCGCATACTAACGCGGTAAGTCTATCCTTGCTCCGCTTCCCTCCGTGACAGTCGGTGCCTTTAAAATCTAGGGTTTTGTCGGGAAGTAATCGGTAGAAAATCCCGGTTTCATCTGCGTTGAATATATCCCGGGGCTGAAACTCTCCTAGAATGACCTGAAGATCAACGGACCATTTCCTCATCGCATCGCTGGATGTCTCCACAGATTTTGCCTCGCCGCAGATCTTCTTAAAACTGATGCCGTGTCTTTCCTTAAATCGGTCCAACCATCCGTTACTACATGCGAATTCACGCTCTCCAAGTTTTACGGCTAGTTCATTAGCTTTCGTCTTTAGC